TTCCATACTTTTCCCAGTAATTAACATCAGACTGTTCCGCCATCAACTCATAGATACTCACATGGCCATCCCTAAAATACTCCAGTGGCAATCCAACCAATTCTGCAAATTCTCGATTGGCTCTATGGATCTCGCCAGTTCTGCGCCACAAACAAGATGGAACACCCATTGCGGTAAACACTCTGTCGTAGTCATACAACAGCCGTTCGAATGATTCCTCCACTTGCAGCAAATCAGTGTCAGTTAACGACTGAGCAACTAATCTAAACTTTGGTCTAAATTCCGACATTACTTTGATGATTCTAGCACGCGATTCATTCGTCATGTGCCGATCCATGTATCTGACTAATCTGTTGTATCCTCTAATGTAATCATGCGGCTTCAGCATTCCGGCATCCTCTTTCGCCTTAATCACCTGCTGTAGTCTCTCATCTGACGTTCCTTCAGTGGTTGGATCTGCCGCCGTCAAAAAGAATCGCGTTTCTTTATCCTCCTCGCTGCTGTTAATGGCATCGATAATGTCCTCATCATCGTCGTCACCACCATTATCATCGTCATCGTGAGCGATTGTTCTTTTGCGTGAGTCAGCTATTGTTGTAGAATTGATACCATTGTTGATATCAGTTAAACCAGTTCCAGCTGCGAAACCAACACCATTGTTTGAATCCACCGCTAGGTTGCCTCCACTTAAAAGCGGATTCAGTGCATCCAAACTCATCAAAAAGTCGGTCATTGATGACAATTCTGTGCCCAAATGCTCATTAGCCAGCGATACTCTTGGTCCCAGCGACTGCATAAACAAGTTACCCAATCCAATATCATTTCCTGTGTTTAATAGTGCATTTCCAGCACTGCTGAGCCCACTGCTACCGCGCCAGCCAGGTAATCCAATGGATGGAGATCTCAATCTACTCAGCAACGTTCCCGACTGTCCATTATACGATGTTCCTCCAGAACTTGATACTCCACCACCACCACCACCGCCACCGCCAGCAGTGGCTCTCGGGAATGTCGGCGATGTTAATGCCGCACTCGTTCCAATTGTAGCCATTCCCGCCGTCATCGCTGCTGTTGTCGTAGTGTTCTGCTGCTGTTGCTGCTGTTTCTGACGCTGTTGCAGCTTTTGTTGCTGAACTGCGTGCGGATGAGGGGCTCCAGCTTGGCTCCGTGCTTCGTCATGGCACAAATGCCCAATATTGCGCTTGATGCATCGCTGACATGGCCGGCCAGTGTCACAGGTCATGTGAGAGCGTCTGCAGTAAACACATGCCTGGGCAACCTTTCTGCGCTTCTTCTTGGCTCCATCTTTGACTGGCTCTGATGAAGTTGATGCAGAGTTGGTGCTGTTGTCTGGTGCACCGTTGTTAGC